GAAAAATTGTCTTCCACGAAACCAGTCCCTGATGCCAAAAAGGTTTGGGACAGCTGCCTTAGAGGGCACCTCCCCAGAGCCTTATATTTGTCTCTTCCTACCATTAATAGCCATCTCTTGCTCTCCAGTCTATGGACATGATACATGGATCATATCAGCTTTTTAATACATTTATTCTAATTATGTATTCAGTAAACATAGAACTGACTACAGGTTAGATTCATGAACACACTGTATCCACTGAGACACCTAGCCCTAAACCAAAATGTCATTTACCACTGGTGTGACATAGCTGGCTAGTGGACAATAGAGGTGCTTTAGGTAAGCATCAACTTAGAACCAGTGTTTACCATCTCTGAAGAGTCTTGGCATTTCCTGTTTCCTGGGACACAACTGCAGAGCTCCCCTTATTGGAAGTAGCCTGGGTTTCAATCTGTGTTTTTCTTCCGCCCCTTGTGATCCAGCCTCATGGTACTGCTCCAGGTATCTGGGTTGCCCCTCTTCCAGCTTCTAGGTTCTAAGAACCCAGCGTCTTCCTTTTGTTTCTCCAGCTTAGAGCTGCTCCTTGTAATTGCTGCCTCCGTGTTGCCACCGTTTGCTTTTTGGTTTTTTTAGTCCTACAATCTCTGCTTACCCAGTGCTCTATTTGTCTTTATTAAAACAACTAGAATAAGTTCTATTTTCCTGGCTGGAGCCAGATGTGTATGCAAAGATGCATCAAAAATAATGATAGTATGTTTATATGATGAAATATTGCACAGCAATACAATTGAACAAATTGTTGCTGCATATAACAACATGGATGAAACTCACAAACCAAATGCTCATGACACAGGAGAATATATACTGTATCATTCCACTGACATACACTCTAAAAGTAAATCATATTATTTAGGAGTATATATGCATACAGAGGTTGTAAAAATACAAGAAGAAAATGAGAGCATCAATACCATGAGTATGAGGGTAGCAGCTCCCATTGACAGAGAGGGAGAGTTAGCCCCCTTTCATCTCTTCATCTGACTGAAGATCACCCTGGTGTTCTATGAACTTTTCTGTGTATGTGTCATAGTTTACAATGTAAAATATTGTTATTTAATTTTAATACAGATGTTTTTACCACTTACATAAACTTTCAGCCTTCCTTTTCACCGATACCTGCTTCTTTCTTATGTATCTATGTCAGGTCCTCAGTTCTCTAACATGAAATAATATTAGAACTGTTTTAGCGCAAGAGGAAAATGCTATTTTGAGGGCAACGGAGTGATCCCTGAAGTGGCTATGGAGCCTCCTCGGAAAGCTTAGCACTTACTTCTCGATGAGCATTGCAAGTTGTATTAAAGCATGCCCAAGAAGATGCACTGGAGTCCTGTTTCGCTGTACCTGGAAGGCAATGGAAAACATTAAACTTAAATATTGAAACTAATGTTCCTTAACTGTACCCCACAATTTTAAAATAAAAAACATCATTTAAAAAAATAAACTAATGTTCATACCTTTTTGGATCTGTTAGTCTATTTAAAGTCATTCTCACGCCATCTTTTTCAGAGGTGATCTCATTTATCACATACACAAACTTAACTAAAATATGTTTGTGCTTATTTACATACTTATATTTTACATGCATCTTAATATATCTTAGCATTCTTCATGTCAAGGGAAGCAATCATTTTAGTAAATTCATGATAAACTTATAATGAAATACATAAATGTACCAGTTTTCATGAATAATTTAATTCCTGTGTGCCAAATCATTGCCTGCTCTTTCCCAGTAGCATTATACTTAAATAAATCTTGAGATCTTTTCGGAAGACCCAAGGACATTTCAGAAATATGGCCAGGCCAATGATGGCTATTTTTTCCATACTAGTTGCTCCCCACTCCAAGTATCAATTTCACATCGGTCCTCACAGCTACCTAGCATGGTAGTCCTTAACCTCAGTTGTCTGTGGTAGGTACATCGGCAGTCATAAAGCAAATATGTATAATTATACTTAAAAGTTTCATCATAGTATCAAGGTATTATTTATTTAGACAGAATAAATTATCCAACTGCGGTTGTTTTCCTCTGAGAAATTTTAAAGAAATGCCACACTATCATCTAGCAGTCATACTTTTCCATCCAACTTTAAAGCATACGGTCTTCGAATTGAAGTCTTAAAGTATAACTATAATTCAAGTGAAATGTTAGAGAAGAAAACAAGCACAAACTTTAAATGTCTCTAACAAGCATACTTTTAGCAAATGGGCATTGCCTGGAGCTTTTCTAGATATAAATCTCCAACACGATTGCACAACGATAAAAAAGACAGTGCATTACTGCTCTGCAGTATTCAAAGGAAAAAATGGTGGACAATAAAACAATAAATCTCTAGGTGAAATGTTAACTTCAAAAGCATTTATGATAACAGATCAGCTTTCTGTAAAAAACACCGAGCTTGTCAGCACAGTCACCAGTCAATGTTTTGGAACTCAAACTATCCACATTTGCTGGTGTTTTATAGCAGGTGGTGCTCTGGCTTTCTTTTCAGGGCTTGAGCATTGGCCCTGGAGCCACACTCACCACAGCAATAAGTGACTTTTGCCCTATATTCAAGAGTTGGACTCTCTCTTGGTCTTCAGCTTTGCATGGGTAACTACAGTTATCTTTACCTGTTTCAGATCAACTGAACCATTTGTCTTTCAGATGTATTCAGTTGAAGAATTTTTCCCTGGATATTTGCACAAAAACATACTAAAACCCCCAAATCAAAGAGTCATTATGAGTTAACAGGACATTGTTCTGATACATGCAGTAATAGGGAATTGAAAGTATTATTTCCAAATTCATCAAACCCTATACATTTGTCCAAGTATAAGTCCAACATGTCATAACTAACTCTTCACATGATCTTGTATTTTGTTTTGCATTTGTTCCTCCAGGATTCAGTGTTTGGAGTATCCAAGCCAAGAAGTGACGTGAAATGGAAGTTGAAATCATTATGTTTAACCCGAACATGTTGGAAACCAAAGAGAGGCTGAATGTTATTATAAGCAACTCATAAATCAGAGTAAATGGTAAGACTACACTTCGCAAAGTAGGCAAAAAAATGTGGCCAGAACAGTCACTAAAAAGTTCCAATTAGCTAATTATCAATTCCTGGTTAACAAATAACCTGTTAACGGGTAGTATCTAAAATGCCAAAAATCCTTATACCTCTCTCCTTCTCTGCAATTACTTGATTTTTTAGCCAAAACAGGACTCATCAGTTTGCAAGTAACGACCTGGACCACCAAGCTGTATTGGAAGCAGCCCAAAGTGATACTTCCATACTACATGAAAAAAATTGTAGGTATCTACCATAGTCTGAACCAAAATTCTATGGTATAGGCTGCTGTGTGTCTTGAAATAAATGTCTATCCACGGGAAGAGATGAGATTAAAATTTTCTCAAAATAAAACAAAAATTCTTCTCAAAAACAAAAAACTTTTGAGAAAAATTTTTTCTCAAAAAAAAAAAATTGAATTTGACCCACAGAGGTGAATCACAGTGAGGAATCTGACCTACCATCATTAAGGAATTCAGTCGGTGGACTCACAGGGACAAATTGTTCCATTGAAGAATTCGGCCCTCAGGGACAAGTAGTTCAACTGATCCACTGTTTCTTCTGTTGTCCATGAAAAAGTTAGTCCATAAGTGCTATTGAACAGTCAATAGCTGGAGTTTACCTAGCCTGGGTTCTTTACTAGTCTGGCCTCTGCCTTCCAGAAGATTCATCAGCCTAGGCAGCCAACGTGTCGCAGAACTGTGGAATCGAGCATGGGAGCACATCGGAAGAAGGACCACTGAATCATTAAAATGAAGAAATGGCCTCTGGTTTTGTTTTGTTTTTGTTTTTGTTTTTTGAGTTGGAGTCTCACTCCGTCACCCAGGCTAGAGTGCAGTGGCACACTCACGGCCACCCCAGTGTTGACCTACTGGGCTCAGGCGCTCCTTCCGCCTCAGTCTTCCAAGTAGCCAGAACTGCAGGCACGCGCCGCCATGATTGACTGATTTTTTGATTTATGGTAGAGATGAGGTCTCGCCAAGTTGCCCAGGCTGGTCTCGAACTCCATGGGTTCAGGCAATCCTCTCACCTCAGCACCCCAAATTCCTGGGATTATAGACGTGAGCCACCGCGCCCGGACTGGCCTCTAGTTTTAATGTTTAAAAAAACCTTTCATATCACCAGAATGGCTTTGTCTTCGGCACATGGGAACATTCCAAAACCAGGAAATGGTAACGGATATGCAATTTTAAGAATGATCGGTCACAAAAATGTTTATGCAAAATATTTCATGGTACTGAAAAAAGGTAGCTCCACTTTAAAGCAAAATATTTTTGTTTTACTATCATAGGAAGACCTCTAAATTGTTAACAATAAAAGTAAACAAAATGACTCTTGGAACATTTTATTTAAACAGAGTTTCTCACACACACACACACACACACACACACACACTCACTCTCTCTCTCTCTCTCTCTCTCTCTCTCTCTCTCTCTCTCTCTCTTTCTCGCTCTCTCTCTCTCTCATACCTGCATGATAAGCTGGCTCTCGTGTGGCCAGACGAACCTATGAAAGTGTGGCCCAGTAGGTCCTGATCTAGGCAACAATTAGCCCCACACCCTTTCAGATGTGAGCGCCTCACCCTTAGCCGGTCGTCTGGTTTCTAACCACAGGTCACATTGGTGCTTCTCTTTGGCTTTCATTTTACTAAAAGAGGCAGAAGGAAGGGAAGACATCATTAAGTGCTAAGTGCTGAAGACTGACCTATAATTGGATTCCTATAACTGGAACATGGGGCCAAGGTGGTTGGAAGCCTCAGTCAGGTTGAATCTCATATTTAAATAACGTTTGAATAAGGGTGATCTGACAAAATGACACGGGGGTTTGTTTCGTAGGGAACCAAGTGATGGATCAAATAAATAATTATGTGTACACTATTTTCTGTTTAATTCATGTGCGTATCTGCTTTGGGGCAAATGTGTGATCGGAGATGGCCTGAGTATAAAATGCAGTATTGTTTATTCTGAAACACTACATTGGTGTTATTTGAAAGTTTATTGCACCGTACCATTCACATACTGAGAAATGCTTTTTCCGTTTCACATTAAATGAAATAAACTGATCTTAAAACTGATCATTTGTAATACATACAGCTTTAGGCTTGGTAACTCAACTTTTTTGCATTGAAGTTTATCTAAATGTTAATGACTGCAGTTATGTGAATAAGGCTTTAGGCATGAAAGTTGGCCCTCATAGCCTTATATTTCTTCTCATCTCACTAAATAACTTTTGAAGTAAGTTTAAGTAGGAAACAGGTATTGTATTTCTATTTTCGCTCTGGCTTGAATTTTGTTTTTTTATCCTGTTTACTTTCCAATATTACATCATCTCATGTATACTGATATATTCATTAGCAATGTTTATTGACTATTTGTTATCATATTGTGATTCACACTGTTGGAGTTTAATTTGCTCTACTTTTGTGATAAGAATGTAAGGAAATTCTCCACTAACCAACAAACAAAATAGGAAGAGGCACCACTTTAAAAAACACACATATTGCAACATACCTGGTAATTTATTAGTTATAGTTTAAAAGTCATGTGGCAACCAATATCAGTAGATTCTTCAGAAGTCAGATGTCTATGGGAAATAGGCAATTACATCTAGTTTATCTCATTCTATTTTCATTTTAAATTGTATTTGTATATCTATGCAAGGTAGTCCTTACAAGAGAGTTTGGGTTGCTTCTGAATCAGGGACATTTTCAAGCAGGGAGAAAACAATATAAACTTTACCTATAGGTATATCAGTTTCCAGTATTATTTAGTATTATTGAGATCACTGTGCGGTGATGCCAAAATCAACAAAATGTAACATATGTTGAAAATACATATGTTAATGCAACTAATCACTTTTTTCTTTTTAGAATTTCTAAACTTTGGGTCATAGGAAGAGACTGGACATGTAACCTCAAGGTAACTGCTTTGCATTCAGCTTACAAATTGTTAAGTGAGTCCGACTCCTCTTAGTCTTACCAGTCAAACAAGCCCTGAGGCACCTCTGGGAGCCCCTGTCTGGATGGTCTCTCTCCGTCCAGAGTCAATTCTGACTCGAGCATAGTTGACATGCCCAGTTTATCAAGTTGCTGCATCTCCCTCGGCGTTTTCTACAAAATCAAGTACATGGGTTTTCATTTCCATCTGATATGTACAACATTTAAAGCTCATCCAGAAACAAACATTAGGAGGTACTCTGGGCTATTATTATTTTTTTTAATAGTAAAGTAAAAACTGTGCCTGTTGCATTACTTTTTGTTAAACTTGGGATAATATTAAAGACCCATCATTTTTATACGCCATGATAGCTGCCTCCCAAAGCAGGGCTGGTTTCTTATGACAAGTACTTTTTGTAGGTAAAGACTTAAATAAACTGCCTTAATTCAGCAACTTTGCCCTCATGACTTTCATGGCTATTGTGTGTGTGTGTGGTGAGAGAGAGCTTTTCCTGCTCTGTGACTGACACTCACTCTTTCTCCTGTAACCAAGCGGAAATTTCTTAAAGGCTCCACTTCTTTACTTAGTTCTGAGGTCAAGCCTTGGGCATCCTTTTCATCCCCAATGCTAGAATATAGAAAGTAAAAGACATATAAAATGCAAGTGTGGAAAAAAATAACCTACAGAAGGTTATAGAAATGATACACCACAATAAATCTTAACATGACTTTCTGAGGAGACATAAAAAAATCATTTGCTTCCAACAGAAAAGAGTAAAAACCTAGAGAAGATAGCATAGTGTATAGACCTGGATCTTCACAAAGCTCATAGAAAAGATGACATGATTGGCTTAACTTAAGACACATTGGGTGGGAATAGACTACTTTTTAGATTTGGATCATACTGCTGGAGAAATCACGAATTATCTTACAAGCAAAAAGCAGGTTTTTTGACTTGATTAAGAAAGATCGCTCTCTGGCGTGGTGGCTCACACCAGTAATCGCAACATTTTGGGTGACGAAGGCAGGAGCGTGTTTGGGGCCAGGAGTTTGAGACCACCCTGAGCAACAGAGTGAGATCTCATATCTACCCAAAAAAATGCAAAAATTAGCTGGGCATGGTAGCCCATGCCTATAGTCTCAGTTCATCAGGAGGCTAAAGTGGGAGGCTAGATTGAGCCCAGGAGTTCCAAGGCTGCAGTGAGCCAAGATCGTGTCACTGCACCATAGTCTGGACAACAAGTGAGACCCTATCTCAAAAAAAGCCCACTATTTCCCACTTTTTATTCATAATTAGTGAGTACCATTCCCAGAAGGACCGCATAATCACTAGGGCGATGAGTCCTATCACAACCTTGAAAGTTCTGAAGTTGGCAAATGAGAATTCAGGTATAAAACTTAGCAAAATAAAGACACTTTGGGACATCCAAAGAGATCAAAAGTTTACTACATAACAGACTTTTCAGAAAGAATTCCTCCAGGATGCTCTCCAGTGCAAAACAAAACTGGATTCTGGCAAAAGGAGAGCATAGGACACAAGCATGGTAACAACATAACTGGCAACTTATGGTTAAGTCAGAAATACAGTCAGTAAATAATAACAGCCTTAAACTAAAATACCAGGTGATACTAGCATATGACTGGAGCGGAACTATCAGAGTTTCTGATCAAACACAGGTAGAATGCAAAAAGAACTCTCAACTCTTCTCCAGCCACGTGATTTTTGTGAAGGTAGTAACACTCATAGCATAGTGGATCTTCTCTATCGACATGAATGTCTACTAGGAAATACACAAATTTCATTAGAATAGAGGTACCATAACCCAAAGGACCACAAATCGCTCTTCCAAAATGACTGCAACACACATATGTTTATTGCAGCACTGTTCACAATAGCAAAACCATGGAACAAACCGAGATGCCCATTGAAGGTGGACTGGATAAAGAAAATGTGGACCTATACACTATGGAATACTAGGCAGTCATAAAGAAGAGCAAAATCATGTCCTTTGCAGCAATATGGATGCAGCTGGAGAACATCATTTTAAGTGAATTATCACAGAAACAAAAAACTGAATGAATACTGGATGTCTCAGAATACTGGATGTATAAGTGACCAATAAACATGGAGCACACACAGGTACAAGGATGGGGAAAAAGACGCTTGGCACTGATAAAGGAGAGAAGAAGGGAGAGGAGATAAGTGATACGATATCATCCATGGGGTACCATGCCCACTCCTGGGGAGGAGGGTTCTTTGGAAGCCCAATCCTCACCTCCACAGGATATACTTATGTAACAAACCTCACACATACTCCATGATTCTAAAATTTTTTAAATTGTGCTAGAGAGAAATCAATTGCACAATTTTGAACATTTCCATTGCTAAGGCAAAAACTTACAGCATTTTGTATCCTTACCATAAAAGGAAATATTCTCATACTGCTGGACTTCCTATACTTGTGAAGTATATTTCCTTGGATCAGGTCTATAAAAACTTTGTTGGACTCAGTTATGATGCTTTTATAGTATAGGTAATTATGGTGGAACCTGTTGAAACCAAGACTGGATCTCTAAATACTTACATATGATACATGATATAAAAGGATTTTAGGAGAAAATTATATTTTCTAGTGTGGGCTTTCCTGTTTACGAATAAATAAAAGAAGTGAACCAGCCTTCCAGGTTTTGCCTACATTCTTACTCTGAATTCAAAAGAGATAACTGTCTATGAACAAACCACAATCAAGAGGTTAGACAAGACAAACTCAATCCACAATACATTCAGAAAAGAAACATAACAGTTAAAATAACACAGGCATTGGGATCACTAGTCCCAGGAACCAGTTCAGGCACTATCTTCTAAGAATTCTGTAAGCTTAAACATATTACAAAGCACATAAAAACTGTGTATATATATGTGTGTGCATATATATAAACACATACATTAGTTTTAGGCCTCAGTTAAAATCTTAAAACTGACAAATTAGGAAAATGAACTGAAGAATGTTTAGAAATTATACACCCAGTTAATTTCCTAATTCATTAATGTCATGTTGCATCTCAAACAGTGCTACCTGTATTTCAAAGTACCATTTCCTGTTAAAATTTTTTAAAGTAAAGAACATCGACTTTTTTTAATAAAAAGAAATATCCGCTGGGTGTGGTGGCTCAAGCCTATAATCCCAGCATTTTGGGAGGTCAAGGTGAGAGGAATGTCTGAGCTCAGGGGTTCAAGACCAGCCTGGCCAACTTGGTGAGACCTCATCTCTACAATAAATAAAAAAATATGCCAGGTATGGAGGCACACGTCTGTAGTTCCAGTTACTTGGAAGACTGAGGCAGAAGAATTACCTGAACCCAAAAGATCGAGGCTGCGGCGGCCGTGAGCGTGCCACTGTAATTCAACTGAGGCAACAGAGTGAGACTCCAACTCCAAAAAAAAAAAGAAATATTCACTTGGAAGCAGAAGTCCTGACCCCTAGTCATAAGTATAAAAGTTTTTTCATATATATATATTTTTTGATTTGGAGATCTCACTCTGTTGCCTAGGCTGGAGTACAGTGGCATGATCACAGCTCACCATAGCCTTGACCTCCTGGACTCAGGCAATTCTTCTGCCTCAACCTCCTGAGAAGGTAGTATTACAGGTAGGCACACCTCACCCAGCTAATTTTTTTTTTTTTTTGTAGGGATGAGGTATCACTATGTTGCCTAGGATGGTCTCAAACTCCTGGGCTCAAAGGATCCTCCCATCACAACCTCCTGAAGTGCTGGAATTACAAGGATGAACCACCACACCTGGCTGCTTTTTCTTACATTTTTAAAAGAAGCATCCCTGGGGTATTATTGGTAAATTTGAAGGGAAAGAACTGAGGATGTGGGCCTTACATACCTTCCTGGGGTATTCTGCAGGGGCTTATAGTCATACATCCTAGAGAATAAGGGAGCTCTGTCCTTGTTCATGGTGACAGTACACTCCAAGGATTGCCCCTTCTGGGGAGATGTCCTTGATCTTGGCAGAGGAGGGAGGCTTGAGAGTCTGTTTCCTGCTCTCCAACAGCCCAGAGAGCTGCTAGTGTTAGGCCAACTGCTGCTCCTTGGGGCTGGAAGGTTCTGCCCCAAGATTCCAGAGATGGCACTGGCTCAAGTGGCAGTTACACATGAAGACTCAGTGTGCCCATTGGATATCTGGATAGCCACCCATCCATAGTCAGCTGCCCACGGGAAGGCAGTTAATCCTTCCTTGGATGACAGGATGGAATGAGTCGAGGAGGGGCATTTTGGTGATGGCCTTGTGACACTTGGCCATTCAGCATGGCCTTTTAATTATAAGCTTGCAGAGGGTGTGTGTGTGTGTGTGTGTGTGTGTGTGTGTGTGTAATATACAATAGACTGGTGTATATCTTGGAATACACACACATATATATACACACACGAAAAGCTGGAATTATATCTTTTACTGTTTTGTTGAGGAATTTTGGGGGGGTAAGCCTTAATTGTGATATTATTTTATTATTACCATTGTTGGTTTTTTTTTTTGGAGCCAAGGTCTTACTCTGTCACCCAGACTAGAGTGCAGTGGCACAATCACAGCTCACCACAGCTCACCACAGCCTCAACCTCCTGGGCTCAGGTAATCTTTCCACCTCAGCCTCCTAAGTCGCTGGGTCTGCAGATATATGCCATCACACCCAATTAATTTTTTATTTTTAAGTTTTTAAAATGTTTTGTAGAGTCGAGGTCTTGCTGTGTTGCCTAGGCTGGTCTCAAACTCTTGGGCTCTAACAATCCTCCTGCCTCAGCCTCTCAAGGTGCTGGGATTACAGTCATAAGACAATGTGCCCAGCTAATTTTGATATAATTTTAAGCTTGCAGAAAAAATAAGATTAGTACAAAGACTTCTTGCATTTGACCCCATTTACTTTATCATTCTCTCTGTTCTCTTCCTTCCCTCTCTCTCTCTCTCTCTCTCTCTTAGTATATGTGATAACCTACAGATACTATGCGCTGTTACCCCTGAAATGCATGAGAATAAGAATATCTTCTACATAACCACAGTACAAGGATCAAAATCTGGAAACTCAACATTGACACAATACTACTCACTAAAACACGGTCTAGATTCAAATTTCGTCAATTGTCCCAATAATGTTCTTCATAACTTCTTTTCTAGGTTCACAATATAATCTATGATCAGTTGGTGCATTCAACTGACATAGCCGTTGATCTGGAGACATTCTTCAGTCTGTCTTCATCTTTTATGACCTTAAGAGTTTAAAGAATACAGAACAATTACTTTATCTGATCTTTCCATATAATTCACATTAAGCAGCTTGGGGAGAAATACCACAAAATTGATTTTCTGTCCTCAGCACGTGCTGAAGGGTGACATACTCCCTAACACCCCATGGACCAGGGTCACATGATGTCAGTGTGTCCCACTGTTGGTGATATTAACATTGATTACTTGGTTAAGGAGGTGTCTACCAGTTTCTCTACTGTAAATTTGCTTTGTTTGGTTTTTTTTTCTTTAAAACTAATAAGCCATTTTGTGAGAAAACATTTCAAGACTAATTAGATACCCTGACGCCTATAAAACTTCCATCCATTGTTTATTTTAACCTTAATTATGTGTTACTATAATACTTGCAAATCAGAGCTCTACATTTATTACTTGGTATTCTCTATAAGGAACAGTTTTCCCTTTTCTTTCCTTTATGATTTATTCATTAATTTATGTCAGTATGCACTCATAGGCTTCTTTTTTCGTTTTATGCCTGTGATTAGTTATTTTGATAATTATCTCCTATCTTCATTTGTACAGAATGCTGCAAAAAAACACCATAGACTGGGTGGTTTAAATAATAGAACTCTATTTCTCCCAGTTCTGGAGGCTCAACATTCAAGATCAAGGTGCCTACAAGGTAGGTCTCCTTTGGGGGCCTCGTCTTTTTGCTTGTAGGTGGCAGCCATCCTGCTGTGTGCTCCCATGACCTCTTGATTGTGCTTCTGGGGAGGGAGAGATTGAGAGGGAGCCAACAAGCTCCCTGGTGCCTCTTCTTACAAAGACACTAATCCCATCCTAAAGGTCCCACCCTCATGACCTCATCTAATGTAACTACCTCCTAAAGTCCAACTTTATCACATGCATGTTTTTGTCTCAGTGAAAAAGAAGTTTACCAACACAATGATACTATTTTAGATTAAAATTTCAATAGCATGCTGTGTTAAGAGGAATGTGGAAGAACAAAGGCTTTCACAGATTGTGGACTGGGGAAGAATGTGACTTAACATGAGCTCTTAGGACATTTTGACCACGTCTGTAGTAATTACAAACTCACGTTGTCTTTCAATATGCCATTCACTTGTTAAGAATGTATACAACCAGAGGTACCTGATCTCAAACCAGGCAAAGTAGGGACTAAAGGGAGGCCCAAACTTTACTGTACGATGGCCACTTGTATATCTAATCTGGAACAGTACCTCACGTCTTTAAAATAAAATTTTTAAAAAAGAAATTTATACAACCAAAAAATTTCACACTTTTGACAGACTGTATAAGTAAGGTTATTATTCACTGTGGCTCTTCTTTTAAGGATAGCAAATGGTTAAATAAATCTTGGTCTTTCCATTCAGGAGAATACAAAACAGCCATATGAGATATTAAGGAAATCTTCCTGTATCGATAGATTGATCTCCATTATGTTGTTGAGTAAAAAAGGCATAATGTATAACAGAGTATATAGTGTGCTATCTACTGTGAAGAGGAGAGGCTTATAAAGTATATTTTTATGTGTGTGCATATGCATACATTTCCTTTGAGCAGCTATATTGGAATTAATAACATTGCTTTCCTCCAGAGAAGGGAACTGAGAGGTGGGAAAAAATGTAGAGGGAGGGTTTTCACTTTTTTGTGCCACATAAATGCATAATCTACTCTGTCTACTTTGAAACTATTTACATGAATACCTGAAGTTTCCAGCTCTGATGAAGTTGAAGTAAGCACCCTGCCCGATCCATCTCACTGCACACAGCTCAAATTCTCGGAATGAATTGGGTAGGTACCCATAGACTCTGAAAAGTAAGTCATTGTAAGAAGAGGTAAGAAAGAGATGAAAAGCCTAGTAAAAACAACCCAATTGTGAAGATCTTAGATTTTTTTTTTCCCTTTGGAATTCCATGGCCTGGATTCAAAGGCAGCTTGAAACCTTAAATTCCATGCCAGTGATGAATAGAATACATTCCAAGAGAAGTCCTCTCTTTCTGATCCACCTTTTGCAGAAAGAGAGGGAGAGGGAAGGGAGGGAGGGAAGGAAGGAGAGAGGGTGGATGACTCAGAGGACAAAATCAAGAGCCTAGAGCTGGAGGCAAGAGCTTGGAAGACTTGAAACCTAGTTGAGGAACCTCTCGACATTTGTCTGGCTGAATTTTAGAAGTTCTGTGGATCAGAGACTCCTCCTGTGCCTCCCATTTTCCCCCTTTTGAACTAGAATGTCTACAGATGATATCCCGTGCCTGACCACTTGCATTTTGGGAAGGGCAGGGACAGATAGCTCATCCCTGTGGTCACGGGTCCACACACACGTAGAAGGACTGTGCCCTAGGAACGGTATTTCATGGACTGAACGCAGGTGCCTTGTCTACACCACTCTGACTTGACTTAAATATTGAGATGTTGGACTTTGAACTGATGCTATAAAGGAATGAGACTCGGGAACTTTGGGACAGGATGGATGTATTTTTTATGTAGCAGGTTGTGAACTGTTGGGGACAGGAGATGGACTGTGGCAGACAGGCCCTACTCCCAGTGATTCCCCTTCTTCTGGTATTCATGCACTTGTATTGTCCCATCCTCTTGAGTGTGGGTGGGACTTGTGACGTGCTTTTATCCCATAGAAACAATGGAATGTCACATCTGTGGTTGTATTACATTATCTAAGACCCCATCTTGTTAGCAATCTAGAGCTATGCATTCTCCTTCAGGGCTTGATAAGGTAAGTAACCACATTGGAGAATCAACAAAAGCACATAGTCTCTAGGACATAAGGGCAGACTCCAGCTATGGTCAGTAAAAAGATATACAGCTGCCAGAAAATGAATTTTGCCACCAACATGAATGAACTTGGAAGGAAAGCTTCCCAAGTCAAGCCTCCAGATGAGAACACAATCTACCAACACTTTGCACCTTTATGAGGCTGTAAGCAGATGACATACCTAAAATGGGTCTAGACTCCTGGTCCATAGAAACTGTGAGGTCATAAATGCATGGCTTGTTTTAGGTCACTATGTTTATGGGAGTTTGCTATGATAGAAATGCACTGAACAGCGAGAAAGAGATTGAAAAACAAAACAAAACAAAACCCTCAAAAACATAGTAGACAATACCAAAAGCTTTAATATTTATGTTTTTGAAATGCCAGAGGAGAAGAGAAAGATTTTGGTGCAGAGAAAAAAAAAATATTTTAAGATATGATGGCTGAAACCTTTCCAACACTAGCAAAAGATATAAACTTCTAGGTGGAGATCTTAGTGGATTAAATAAATCTATGCTAAAATATATCATAATTAAATTTCTTAAAACTAAGAAAAAAATAATTCATTACTCAGAGAGGAACAATGATCTGAAGGATGACGTGTTTCTCACTGAAGCCTCAGAGATGAGAAGACAGTGGAACACTTTTTAAATTGTGGAACACTTTTTAAAAGTGGAAGAAGTGAACTGACAGCTAGAAATGTATGTCTACTTAAAATATCCTTCAGAAGTGAAGGAAGAATAGTGATACTTTCAGGCGAAGGAAAACTAAGAGAATTGTCACCAGCAAAACTGTTCCAAAAGTACTTCAGATGGGAGTGAAATGACACGCAAACAAAAATGGGAATTTCAGGACTGAAGGAAGAGCAAAAGAAATAGTAACTGCGTAGGTGACCTCAGTAGACTATATTTTTCTGATTGAACTCTTTAA